TTTGTCCCCCAGTACACCCTCAAAGCCTCCTTTAGTTCTCAGCTCTCGCCTCCTCTCTGGTAGAGCAGGCCACCTGCCAACTATCGTATCTATTACCAATAACGTGATTAGCATCCTGCAAACACGTTACATCCACCCTCCCAAACCGAGATCACCCTAGTAACCAATGCAACCAAGAGAACAGGCGAAGAGGAGATAACCATAGGAGCTTTAGCCACCAACATCATGAGGTACCCACAATTAAGCATGTATTTCTATGTGAGGGCAGCCGACAAGGTAGATATCTCTTTCTCAGTGCGATGGCATCGTCGAGAAAGGAGTGAGACATGATGCCGAAAGCAAGAGACTTCGTCCTCTTGGGTGAAGTTCTTCTCAACAGGTCCAGACAGAACCAATGACGAACATAAAGTAGATGTGGGAGAGGAGATGGAGGCTCCCTTTGCCATTGCTACCGTAAGTAAGTGACTTTAGTGAACAACTGAAAGAATAAGTAAAAGGAAGAAAGATCTTCCAGCAAACATAGGGGGTGATATAACAACAATGCCCCTAAAAGATGATCAAAGTTACAAACTTGAAGCCTATCGTGAGATAGAAATCAAGGGCTCTGATTGGATCGATACCAAACATTCACGTTGTGACATGGGGTGAAAGAAGAAGGAAAAGTACTTAGAACAAAATGTAAAGAACATATCTTTCTAGGCTGTACTGGCCTCCTTATATAGTGTTCTTCCCACCCTAAGTCATGTGACCCAAAGTGGTCACATGCGTAAAACTAAATCATAACAAACTAGTCATATGGCTAAAGTGGTCATATGTGAAAAACTCATAAACTAATCATAACATAATAAACAAGTCATATGACATGAGGTGATCACATGCGCAAAGCCCATGACCTCATAATGAGGTCATATGTAAAACATAAATCATATACGCACGGCATACCCGCAAAGCACACTTGCAAGGCATACTCGCCAGGCACATGTCCCATGACTCATAATTGAGTCATGTGCAAAACATAACAAATTATAACAAGTCATATGACCTAAATCAGTCATATACACGAAACAATAACATGCCCATGACTTATAATCATGAGTCATGTGAAAACCTTTTCCATGCCAAGCCAAATTCATGACATGACCTCGAAGCAAGGTCATGTGCAAAAACTCATAAACCAATCATAATGCAATAAACAAGTCATATGTATTAGGAATACCAGGATCTGATACCTAGGAACCACACTAAGGAGAGTAATTCCACCTGGAATCAGAATCTCTGATCTCCAATAACCCCCTCTAGCCCTCTTACTGGGCTCGCACATCATCATACATATCAACCTCAGTTACGTAGCTCAATTGGAAGGTCATGTGACTCTTCACTGAAGGTCACATGTTCAACTCCAGCTGTCATCAAAGTTATTTCTAGTATTGAGTTATTTTCTTCTAATGCCACTTGCAACTTCAAGACTCTCTGTATGACAACCAAGAACCTCTGACTGTGAGATTATGATTCTATCCTGTAGAAGTGGTTTTCCTCTACATGAGAGAAGTTACTGGATAAGAATCTATAGGTTGGATCAGGAGATATTGCGCTTGAAAGTTGGTGACCTAAGATGGATACATACACAACTTCACAGAGTCACCCAGAGCCACGCTCCGTTACTCCTATTTTCCTTCCACATAGTTTGGCAACACCACGTCGACTATCGTGGGCCCCCCCTCTCCCTCCTGCCCCCTCGATGGTTCCTGCCTAGGGGCACAGTTAACTCTTCCATCCCCTCCTGCTTTGGCCTCACTTGTCTCTTGTCTGCTTGATGGGGGAGTTATCTGGGCTCGCCCAGTAGTCCTGTCTGGCTAATACAGGCTCACTTAGCTTTAGCACGGTCGGCTTCCTCTCTTCGTTTCCGGATGGCACTGGCAGTAGTGGACGTCCTTCTCCCCACTTCCACGATCCCCGATGGGGAACGCCTCGGCTAGTAACTTCGGGGTCTGTCTCGCGGTGAGATTTGACCATACCCTCCTAGTCGCCCGGTTCTAGTTTGGTTACCTTCCTCACTTCGCCCTTCCATCTCCCTGCCGCCAGTGGGATCCCTTCTACTAAGTGACGCTATCTCTCGGAGAACAAGGGACTACATGAGAGACACGGTAATACGGCAGGTTTGGTTTCGATTGGGTCAGCACTGGAGCCTTGGGCCCTTCCTCTCTTTTTTCTCTTTGGTCGCATCGGCTGGTACCCTACTACTGTCGGCTGGTACCCTACTACCTCTTCCTCTTTTGCTGCTTTGGGCAGCCCCTTCGGCCCTCCCGGACGGACGGCTTGGAGCTCTTGTTCTGCCACTACCTCCTGCTTACAGTGGGCACTCTTTCCTTTCGGTTTCTCCTACTTGCGACCATGGGCTATCTGCCCAAGACATACATTTATGTCACCTATACGGTACACCTATTCGTTATTTCGACTTCACGGGCGAGGCCTGGCCATTGGTTTGTCCCAAGCGAGGGGCACGGGTTGGGTTGGTATCTGGTTGATGTAGGCGAGGGACAGGCTTCGGCCTTTGGTTTGGGTACTCTGGTTTGGGTTTTTCTCTGTTCAGTGGGGGGTGTACTGTCGGGATGGGGGTTTTCCTTGCTTTGAAGGATGGGTTTCTGGGCTTTCTGTCTTTACCATTTGTAGATAGCCGTGTGGGAGACTTGCAGGGGAGCTTTTTAAACCGAGGACTGGTTGGGTGTTGGTGGCTCTAGGCAAGACCCCTCCACGTTCAAGTCGTGGGCTCTTAGGAATGGGCACCTGGCTGCTGGCGTGTGCCTTTTTGGGGTCATGGTTTTTCTTCTGGCTGCTTGAGAACAAGGCGGGGTGGAGGTGCGGGTCTGCATGGTGAGAGCTGATATGACTCCCGGCCTTATTTTCATTAATATAGATAAATAAATAAGATTATAAAAAATAAAATAAAAAAAAAAAGAGTTACCCAGAGCAACCAAAGGTTGCCAATCAAGCGATTATCTATCAACTCAGTGGAATAGTTTCTTGCGAATTAGTAGGAAGCCCTCTGAAAGATATCTATTAGTTAGATAAGAAGTTATGAAGGTTGAAAGTCAGCTGATCCAGGAAGGTTGTGAGTACGACTCCCTTTGTAGATACAACCCGCAGATGAAACTGATCCTTTCATTAATGATAGAGACAATTGGGGCCAACTCAGTTCGACTTGAAAACTAGGCCATAAGTCTAAAGACTCTGACAATTGGAGAATTAATATTGGGAATGGCATGATTTCCAGTTAACTCTGTTATTACCAATGAGGATGTGGTGATTTTCAGGGTCTCAAGGTGTTCACACCATGGAAGAATACCCAACATTGCAAGTTATAACTAGGAAGATACCTTATTGTATAATAAATAGATGTAGTCCACAAACACCCAGACGCAGAATATAAATATTGAAGTGCCTCCTAAGCTTTAGACATCATCGAGCAAGGGAGAAGAGACCTTAACAATATAATATGTTTTTTATGATTCTATCCTACTTTAACAATTTTACTTTGCTCTTAGTAGTCATAAACAAAACAAGTGAAGTTGAGCCTTTCTAGACAATCTCCGTCTACAGAAACAAATCTTGATTGGTCTAAACAACTCTAAAGTCTATCAGGTTGTCTCCACTTAACAATATGACCCAAATTTGTCACATGTGCGAAACCAATGACCTCGTAGCAAGGTCAAGTGTAAAACATAACTCCTATGCACAAGGCATACCCGCAAGGCATACCTGCAAGGCATACCCGCAAGGCATACCCGCAAGGCATACATACCCACAAGGCATACTCGCTAGGTGCACATCCCATGACTCATAATTGAGTTATGTACGAAATATAACAAATCATAACATAAACAGTCATTTGACCAAAGTGGTCATATGTGCAAACATAATAACATACTCATGACTCATAATCATGAGTCATGTGTAAACGTTTTCCTTGCTAAGCCATGTTCATGACAGTGCTGTTGATATTGTGGATTAATATCGTTCCTATTTTTTTACACAATGAACTTCATGGAGAAATTGGCTTTCTATTTTTTTCTGGCTCTTGGATATTACTATTGTCAACTCTTTCCTTATTTACAAAATGCGAGTAAGTTCTCATTCTACATGAGCGCAGGTGGAAGGAAGTACTACTAATAGTACCTCATCAGCTCAGCTGTTACATAAAGACTTTCGGCTTACCCTTACAGGCCAGCTCTTGCAACATTACGCAAAAAAGACAGCTGGAGGGGTGGCAAGAAGAGGACCGGCCTCACGCTGGTATGAAAGAAAGACTAACCAAATAACTTACAGTAAATTATATGGCGTTCAAGAACTTCCCCGAGCACAGCCAGGGCCTCATGGGTCACATACACTGTTGAAAAGTGACAAAAGGCGTGAATGTGCTCGGTGTCGATTTCAACTCCGCCAAGAAGGCAAGAAGGGAAAGCGCGTATCCTATTCTTCAATTTACTGTTCTTATTGTCTTTACTTTCTTTGCAAAAAATGTTTTATACAGTATCATCTGGAGTCGGCCATTGTTGTATGAGTTCAAATTTTATAGATGATCCTTTTCTTTCTTGGTTAGCTTCTCGTTTAGTCCTGTTACACAAAACATGCAACAAGTTTGAAAATCTCATCCGTCCAAGGGATAATGACATCCAAATTGTTTAGTCAAGTTATGCTAGTGGGCAGCTTTGTGAAAGAGTTGCAGTAATCATCGTTATTCCATAGAGCACACTGTAGTTATCGCGTGCCAACCAACTATGACGTCCAACCCAGAATAACAAACAAATACTCGCGCACTGCGCATCAAGAGAATATGAGCAACCATCTAGTCTACATTGAGTCTGGTAAGGCGCTAGGCTAGCTTTCCTCTCGCCAATCGTGAGGCTACATGCCACCGGAACCTTAACTTGAAATATGACGATATAAAAAAAATCACCACAACCACAACCACCGCTACCTCTCTCCCTCCGCCGAAACCCAAAATGGCGCTCCAAAACCTAAATCTAACGGTAATCGTCGCAACAACCCACTCCCTAGGGATCGGAAAATCCGGCACACTACCATGGCATCTCCCAACTGACCTCTCCTACTTCTCCCGCGTCACAAAGCGTCCCCCCCCATCCCAATCCCCATCCACATCCCCTCCGGTGTTAAACACCCTAATAATGGGCCGAAAAACATACTTCTCCATCCCTCCAAAATTCCGCCCGCTGCCATCACGCCGCAACATCGTCATCTCCCGTTCCTCGCGGCCGGATTCTTTCAATGACGCGAGTACCTGGGTCACCTCCTTCCCCGACGCGATTGCTGCTGCGGGCGGCGACGGCGGCAGGATATTCGTAATTGGCGGTGCGGAGATATACAAGCTTGCCATGGAGGACGAGAGGACCAGGAATGTGCTATTGACTCGTGTTGAGGGGGAGTTTGGCTGTGACCGATTCTTTCCGGTGGATGTCAGGGACGAGGGAAATACTGGGTGGGCGCAGAGGGGGCACGAGGAGCTTTGCGCATTCGTTGGGGAGGCGGTGCCCGCGGGGGCTAGGGAGGAGAATGGGGTGAGGTTTTGGTTTGAGCTGTATCAGAGGCCTTGATGGCCAGCTGCCGGGATGGGATGGGCTGGAATGTAGCGGTTTGTTTGTTTTTCTCATTATTACAGCTACAGCACTTTGTGCTCATTAAAGCGATATCCGAAAAGAGGAAGAAAGAAGATGGCGGAGACAAACAGCAAAAAGAAACAAACAGCTCCCCGGAATATACAAAAAGTCAACCCCTCCAAGAAGAACACTTTTTGAGGCTCCCTATTCCATCCATCCACCCCACTCCAGGCATGCCAGATATATGCCAATTTTTGCGGGCCTGCCTAACTTGTGAACACGCAAAGCAAACCATGACCGCCCCAAAACACCGAATAAAAATCGAATACCCAGCCTACCCACACAGACCAACCTGCGGTTTGTTTGGTTCCGTACACCACCCGAATACATGTCACAAACCGTGACCACGAAAACACTAAAGAAAACCACCAACCCACTCCCGATTCATTTGAATCAAAAAAAAAAATCCCAAGAGCCCAGAACAGAACACAAGGAAAGATTTCACTTCTTCGCCTTCTTCAAATCACCGTGTCGCTGTACTGGAGACCTATCATCGAGAATGAACTGTCCGAAATGCTTCAACAGGTTCATGCTCTCCTCGCCAGCGGGGAGGATATGGTCCCTGGGAAGCAAAAAGCCGTAGCTACCTGTATCCCTCAGTTTAATCTGGTACGAGTAGGGAATACGATCCTCGGCGTAGAAAAAGTCCATCATGCTCCCGCCGCCCGTTGTGCCCTGGTACTTGGCAAACCCTGTGCCCTCGCAAGCTGACGTCACTTCATAATGCTCACCAGAAACCAATCGAATGGCTTTAGCCAGGCCGAATCCTAGCTCTTCGAGGTTCTCGAGGTCTGGGGGCATGCTATCGCAGGAGTATGAGTATGGGTAGAGAACTGGCGAAATGTTAGCATGCATCCTGAGCTAAACCCGCGATGTCGTCATACTTTGTTGTGAGTAGGAATGGAAGTCAAGTAGTCCCACTATCTCGGCCCCCTCCCTGGTGATATTGTATGTCCAATCTGAAAACGCCTTTGCTTCTGTTGCCTCGAAGGGGGAAGCTCCCGGGAACACTATGCCCTCGTTAGAACAAATCCCCGATTAGGGTTACACAATTTCTGCAGGGTCAGACATACTGTCGCTGCAAGGGTTCGACTGCGATTGAGACGACCCATCGAAATGAAAGTTGTACGCTCTGTCCAGGTCAATTCCTTTGCAGAAAGCCAAGGTGGTTGGCTGCCTATTCTTCCTCCAAAGCCTATCGCCCTCCCATGTATACACATATCCATCGATGTTCAGAGTCGGGATAAAGTACCAGTCAAATTCATCAACTAGGGTATCCGACAAGCGATCTTTATTCCTTCCGTATCCAGTGATAAGGGAGTATGCCAAATAGGATACCGTCGAAACACTAATCCATTCCCTCGCATGAACTGCTCCAGTCACAATGATGGTTTTCCTCTTCATTCCATCCGCCCGCGGATTTCCAACGCGAATGGCTTGGATATCGCGTCCCTCATAGCTCTTCCCAATACTTACAATTTCTACGAGACTAGGAAAGAGTGATCTGAGGAGATTCATCCACGCCTGAATTACATCATGCGGTTGGTAATCTTGGAAGAAGATGCTTTGGACTCCGTCCAGTGTTTGGCCATAGTAACGGCTAGCGGTCGAGGCTCCAGGATAAGTATCTCGAGCAGTCTGGCTCAAGTCGTGCATCAAACGGACATGTGAATGCTGTAATGAAGCGGGCAAGAGGTCTAGTAGAGGTGGGATCTAAGAATCGCGATTAGCAATTCGCTCCCTCGGCAATTGGCAGCAAGGCAAGACATACATCTGCCTCCGCTATCCTAATATCAGCGTGGGTCTTGGTTGTCGACCAAACGTCCAAAAGCAAGATGTTGGAAGCCTCGGCTAGAGCTTTCATCTCCTCGGGTGTCTTGAGGGTGAAGCGCAACACCACATCGCTAGCATACTGCGAGGCAAGCTTCGCGGTCTCGGACAAGTATCTCTGATTCTCCTTCCGCCTTCCGTGCCGGTTGGTGTCCCCGAATAACCGACCGATAATACTATCTCGAATTCGGCTGGACCATCGAGGCGGCTCGGGGGCCGAATCAGCTGGATTCGGGAACTCCTGAACAGTGTGAACACTCCTCGGTTCAACGGGGGCTCGGCGGCCCAGCGAGTCGGGTATTATGGCCGCGTTCGTCCCGCACTGGATCACTAGTCCCACGATGGCAACCGCGGGCGTGAGAAGGTGGATGCCGTAATGCATGGAAAAGGAGAAGACTGCGGATATGGAAGAGTTGTGAGATCCAAGGTTCAAGCGTTCCTTTCCTAAGGGTTGTGGGATGGAAACGATGAAATAAAACGGGCGATGAAAGATTGACAGTTCATCCAGGAGATGGATAGTTATCTTTTTTTTTTTTTCTCTTGGAGGGGGGGGGCAGTGAAGGGAGTGGGTGGTACAAGAAAAAAAAGAGTTCGTTCTATGGACGGGCAGAGGTTGCTGCGGACAAATGTGATAACAGGGATAAGGATAATTGGTTGCGCGTACTGTACGGGTACGAGTGCTGAGTACGAGTACAAGTACAGTAGCGACAAGGTACGGCAATGAGCGGACGAGAAGTGAATCATCATTTATGCATGATCTGCTTGTACTAGTACAATATGTTGCAATAGCAGAAATAATAACCAGCCTGTCCCGTCACTACATGTGCGACCGAAAGGAGTGAGTGTCCGACACAAGCGATTCTACGATACACCAAAAATGGCCAATTTCGCACACCTATTCCAGCACCAATACTTGAATTAAAAATAGTACGACTTCATAGAGTTCTCAGAAAAGGTGCAGATTACTTGACTTCTATTGTAACATCAGATGGATTTAAATTCTCTGAAGAGCAGTAGCAAGAGGGAGCAAAACATTCCTCAAAATGGGCCAAGGCCATGATTTTTGGTGGGAAAACTGTGTCTTGGCGGAGTTTCAAAGGTTCAACTGCACACCACTCTTGAAGGGTCAGGAATTGAGTAGACATTTGCATACGAAAAATGATGTCCATAATGTTTCCAGTGGTTATATGGATAGTTTGCATTTCTGTGAGTTCCCCCCAGTGTGATATCTTGATGTGAAATCCACTGTTTTTGCGGTAAAATCGCACGTGTCCACTGACCTTACTTCAGACATAAAAGATTTTAAATGAAGAAAATGCAACTGATCAAGCCAATCCATCCATCCGTCAATCCAATCACCGTTCCGCATTAACCCGCTACTCGTAGAAGTTTCCCAGGCGGCTTGCCAGCCCTTCTCGGTCGCGTGCCCCACAATTTCCCCAGAATCATGACCAACTCGACCGCCGCCAAACTGCACACTTGCAGCTGGCAGACAGCGACAGCTTAGCAACCCCCAAGAACCCGGACCAGTGCTGTTGAAGCTATGGTACAATACAGTAGTACTGTACGAGTACAGTACTCGAGTACTGGTACGTACCGGTGTCCTGGGTCCTGCAGTCGGTCGGATACCGCACCGGTAAATTTAATTCCTATCCCTCTGTGATACGATATTCCCTTCGCCCCTCTCCGAATTCCACCACCCTTTAGCGCCTACCCCGTCCTCTGATCTTCAAAAAAATCTAGCCTCATATGGGTAATGGTTTTCGCCACTTGATGGCGACCTGGCCAATGGGATTTATGAACCTCAGGAGATAATCGGCCTTTTCCCTCATTTGGCGATGGCTATGATACCGTTATCGCAGCTCGAGCCTGAGCTCCCGAATATCTCGAGTACGGTACTCGAGTAGGTAGTCTACAGACGAATGGATGGACAAATACGGCGCCAGACGAACTGATCGGTTCGAGGAAGATGTGGTCTATATACTCGTACAATACCTACTCGAGCACTTGAACAATCCTATCTATCCCCCGTCAACCTACCAGTACCGTAGCCAACCCGGCGGCCGGTACTCGTACAGTATCTACGAGTACTGTACTTGTAGCCCAAGGGATGATTTGGATACCGAGTAAATAACATAACTACGCTACACCTCCCACAACGAAAAGACCCCGGCCATGTTCGTGCTGTTGGGCAAGCAAGTGTCCATGCTGTTGCGGTCAAAGTGCGCGGACCAGTTCTACCGTGCTCTTGATACCGGTATGCGGGCAGTGGGCACTCGACTACTGATATTGATCATGTGCAGTACGAGAGTAGACTATTCAGAGGACAACTGTCTTCCCAGAGCTCTTATCAAAGACAACGCCTCTCCCACACTCTCTCTCCCAAATTCACATGTTCCCGAGTATCATACTCAATCCCTCGCCTCCATCCCAATCATACTCGAGTACTCAAGTACAGTAATAGCACCAAGCCTTGGCATCACACATTCCCTCACACCCCTTCACAAAAGTTCTCCCCACCATCTCATAAATCATCCGACAGAACATAAATTACCGTAAATTTATCGTACAAGTACAGTACTCGTATGATACGAGTAACCAAGCTCACCACTTCGCCAAGCACATAAAAAGGAACACCCATCAATCCGCAGTATGATATATTCCCTACCAAACTTCCCTGTTGCCGATAGATAAATTTTGAGCGTCACGCAAATCTGTCAAGTTTACCATAGGCAATAACGACGTTCATCAACCCGACAATCCGCTCAAGTCCTTCGGGTTTGGTAGGCGTCCTCATTGAAAATTGCTGTTTTAAACCACATGACGGCTATATCTATCCGCCGCACTCGTGCTCAAAGTATCGTGGAGTGCTCGAGTATAAGTACTCGTACTGCACCTTATCACATTTATCCCCAGAGTTGCGTTACTTATGCTAGCACTGCACTGCTGCCCGCTTAGATTACCTTATCTAAAACAGGAGGAAAAAGCTCCAGGGCCCGCCCCACAAAACATGATAGGCTTCTCAGGGCGGGTTTAATGCTGTGCATCGCAGGCGCATGCCACATACAGTACTCGTACAGCACTATAGCCCTCTTTTCTCACGTTCCACTGCTTCACAGCTTGTAGAAGCTAGTGATGGATGGGTTGAATAGTTGGGTCTTTGGATGGATGGATGGGGTGCTCAGAGATACAAAGGTTGTACTCGAGTATTATTATATATCGGCAGCCTCATGTTATTTTTTTTTTTTATTATTGTTGAGCATATCTAGAGCAATAAATCAGGGCCACCGTAGACCAATTTCAAATTGTACCGATGGCCAACCTATCTCCTGCCGGGTGGTCGGGGGGAAACAAAGGGTTTATAAAACAGGATAATGATGGATAAGTTTTGTTTGCTTCTTTCGATGGGCCGAGATAGATAGTGGTCCCGGTAGTTTTAATATCTCCAGTTCTCCAACCGTGTGGGAGAAGGCTGCGTCGACGGGTTCCCCAGTAAACACTCCCCACAGCATGATATGCGCTCGCGATTCCGAAGCCTCTTTTAAAAAGGACTGCTTGTTGGTATTGCATAAGTTGCCAAAATTTGAGCTTTTCCCTTGGATCTTGGTGGAATGCAGCAGCTCACTCTTGAAGAAGAAAGGGGGGGGGGCTTCGACACCACGAGCACCGGCACATTGCATTCGCCTCACTACACCAGCGCAAGAGAAACAAGCCTGCGTAGAAGGCCGAAAACAAACGCTCCCCGCCGCCACCCGTCAAAGTCCCGAATACCGTGTACCATACGAGTACTGTACATCATCGGACGCAGTAAGCTAAGCTAAGCTAAGCTGCACTCCACTGGCCGGGAGCTTACCCCCCTATTTGAGGATCAGGCGTTTCATACATAGATGAAGCCAACATCCAACATCTCACCCCAAACAAAACATCTAAATCGACCCCCCCCCTCCACATATCATGACTTTCCAACACACCGCCAGATCACACTTCATCACATGTAGCCCCCCGAATAAAACTATCATACCCAATCGTGCCAATCCCCGCGCAGTTCAAGCGCCACAAGTACCGGTAGAACGTACGTCTGAGCGTGGAACATCTGTCTTGTCCTCGTGTGACTCGACCTTTTGTGTGTACTGTACGTAAGACCGACGGTCCACTACCACCCCTTCACCATACCCGCGCCAAACGACTCGACCCGGTTTCCACCAAGTGTGTATCAGCGCATCTTTTCCACAAGCAATAAATCAATTTCCACACCCACATCATCGTTGACGATTGTCGCTCTAAGGAAAAGAAATCACGGCGTCGAGTGATTGTCTGTGATGGGGGTGATCATCGGGGGTAAGGTGTGTGGATATCATATCATAGAAGAGTTCTGTTGGGGTCTCTGAGGTTAAGGTTTATTATGTGTGGTTGGGGGACGCATTTTGTGGGCCATCGTATTCGCGAATCGGTGAGAAATGTCCCCAGAGACGAGATCCAATGTCTCGGGCATTCGTCCAATGATGTGGCTGCATAGGCTGACGGAGTCTCTACCCCGGCCTCAAGCTAATCTTAGAAACATTTTTGAGGAAGAGAGACATGTGGAGATCTAATTTAGTAATCCCCACGCAGCAGCATTGGTAGAGCAAGAATTGTGGAGTTTCTTTTATCACCTGGGTAGCATACCGGTATTCGTTGGCCGACCAATATTGAGAGCCTCCCCCAAGAAATGCGTACCTGCCCAATGCTGCGAATATTGAATCGACCGTGGCTACATATTCGGATAGCACCGGTAACGATCAGTGCACTCGACGCGGATGCGAATCGACCCCAACACCAACGAGATTCGAGAACGAGGTGTGCCCTCCGCTCCCTCCGCGCCTGGTGCAGGCTCGGTCCGTATTTTTTATTTTTTTATTTTCTATCCCCCATTTTTTGAAAACAGCTCGGCCGGGCCAAGTTTGCTAAGGACAGCTACTGTGTACATGTAGTCTGCCCAAGCGGGATGGAGTGATGGAATCAATACCAGTACGAGTACCTCTTCCAGGAAGAGTGTTGTTGCCAAGACTCGCAGACCCGGGTTTGGCTTTCAGGGGCTTAGCGTGCAGGTTTCTGGGTACTTTTGGAAATCGCACTTGTAGAGCGGTACAGTACTGTACTCGAGCACACCAACGAGCCAGCTCTTTTGAAATCTCCGGGAATCCGTCGCTGAGTGGTACCGCTTCCAGGAACCCTGTTGAATGAGGGATGGCTTTTCACTGGATTGGGGCACACACTCTGCAGTGCTCGAGTACAGAGCCCCGCCTCGTTGCTAAAGATCAGGCAGAGGGGAATCTTTAGTTTCTCCCTTCAGATGACCCAATCATGTGGTATCACTCGAGTAATTGATTCACGATAAGCGGGCTGTGGGATGTCTCGGTTCGGAAAAACCTGCACCTCCGAGACATTCCCAACCCGGTGCCGGAAAGAGTGGTTCCATGAGGGGTTGTGGTTCTCGAGCGGAAAGTTCGGGGGGGGGTGATTATGGGGTCCACCGATCATATCAAATACGAATGCCAACAGAATGCGACAGTCACCGTCGAAAATCCAACCTTCGGACTGAGCGGCAAAGGATCTCGTTCGAAGGGAGAAAGTTCGTCCTTCCAGAAAATTGTTGAGAATGTAGGTACGGGGTCCGACCTAGGTGGAGGTTATCGGTAGTGTTCCCAGTGGTTGCCGCTTGCATTGGGGGCCCATGAAGCCCGACAAATGGCATCCTTAAACCGGGCCCCTTCAAGGGGTTGTACAGTGGTCAATTCTTTGGTCCCTTGAGGTCACTCTAGTAAAAACTATACCCAAGGGGCACGGTCCCAGAACCACACCGCCATGGGGCATAAAGTTTGGTTAGAATTGGGATTATGGGTACTCAATTCAAAAGTCCGATTTCATGGTTTTTGTGCACGGTACTCGTACAATACCGGCACGAAAAATCGACTGCCGATACCGTATGTGGGATCAAGGAACCAGGCCGCCAGGACTTTTCACTAACTTAAGTTAACCCCACTTAAGTCTCTCTACGCATACCCTCTGCGATGTTATGTTCAATTTCCGAAACGATTTATTTCGCATAAATTTGACAAGCATCCCCCTCGTAAGGTATCACCTTGGTGGAGCGCGGCACAGTGCCTCGCGTTCATTTTGTGAGTTATCCTTTTTTTAAGAGTTCTTATCGAGCACGGTCGCTAACACACGTGGCATATACTATCATGCTTGTACTGTACCCGAGTAGGGCGCTCGGGTAACATTTGCACAACCTTGAGTCATGTATTTTTCGTAGACTGACAATGGTGAGGAGAAAAGAGAGAGAAATAAATAAAAAAGACTCGACATGATTCTCGCCCTCCATTGGTTTCTAGACCCGGAGAAGGCGAGACCAATCAAAAAAGATATCTTGGCCGAGAATTATTTTAGGATGGTATCGCAGGCCTCCGGACGATCGTGCTCGTGACTGGTCGTTCTGTGCAGCGCTCGTGCGTGCTGTGCGAGTGCGGCACCACCGGTACCGGTAGTACGGTGGCCTGTGGCTCTCTGGAGCGCAGACCGCATGCCCTCCAGAAGCCCGCACTAGGGATATTGCCAGGAATCTAGTTTGGTACGAGTACTCCTAGAGAGATAAGGACAAGACTTTCGTGCCTCGAATCTGGCATTGAAAAAGGTGGAGGAGAAACCGAAGAGGGGAGGGGGAAATGGGAGCGAATGGCTGAGACCCCCCCCCCGGTTAGGGTGTGATCGAGAGCGCATAAGTTTGGTTCTTGGTGGGCCCGAAACATCGGGTCTAGAGGTGTTACAGTAGAGAGCGCCTTTAGCTTAGCATGAGCATGGGAACGGAGAGGCATTGGGCCAGAAGGAGTAGAGCCTCCTTGCTGGAACTGGAAGTATAATACCGATCGAGATAATAAGCTGGCAAGCTGAAGAAATCCTATCCTATCTATCAGTCAATATCGTGCTCTCTCTGAAGAATACCGTGCTCGAGTGCTGTCAATGTTTTTACGTCCAAGAGATCTGGAGGAAAATAGGGTATCATAACGAGATCTGGAAACTATGATACTCTTCCTTAGCTGGAAACAAGGTACTGTACTAGGGGTTTCAAGCTGAGACTTTCTCCACAGGACTCGAGCGTGGTACCAAGCGGCTTCTCGCACAGGATATGCAGGTTCAGCGGTCGAATGGCGAGCACAATTTCGGCGACGGACTGAGGGACACCAGCGAAACGCGGCCTTCATCCTCAGTCAAGAAAACTACACTTCAACTTCTAAGCGGGAAAACACAACCATGAGGGATTTTAAAAATCTACAGTAAATTTCTTTAAACACAAACCAGGTTGAGCCTATTTTTTTTTTTTTTTTTTGGAGGGGGGGGGGGATGGGGAACATTTAGTAGAGAAAATATATGATATGTGAAAACCAATTTCTTGGGGTGCCAAACAAGGTGTTCGAGTGATAGTAATGGTCCGAAGGAGTCTTGGTAGTCTAATAGGATCCCTACCGTACTTGGGCATTTCTTCAGAGAGGAGATTTACTAGCAAATTTTGAGCGACACAGGCTACCTACTCGAGTGGATAATTAATTACTTTTTAGCATCAGAGAAAATTCTAAAATTCAGTATCGGCAGTGTCTCCGGTTTACACCTTTTTCTTGTGGGGTTTAGGTGAGTGGTTCCGGAGGTATGGTTGCCTCTATCATTTATTACTGTATTGGGGCGCAACTTCAGGGCTGAAAGCGGGATGGTATTCCTTGAAAGATCTGAGAGTCGTTGGCACCGAGAAGGTTGTCCCTTTTTTTTTTTTTTGCCCGTCCTTTGGGCCCTCTATTCCTCAGCCCCCGTGGCTTGGGAAGCTTGCATAAGAGAAGGAGAGTGAGAAGGGACAGAGGGTGTAAACTCTACTCGAGTATCGTACTGGAAAACTATTTACGGGGGGAAATTGCTGTGGGTTACAAGAAGGCTTTGTACGTTAATAGTAGTCATTCTACTGGCAAGCA